TATAATGTTATATTATTATAGCGAATATAAGAATAAGATATTTTCATTCTTAAACATAACCAACTGTTGAGAATAGAGTCTCTCATTTTATTTATATATATTATTTAATCATCAACTAGGGATTTATCTTTTGACTTGTGAATCTCACGTCTTTTACTAGGCAAAATAGTAATTTATATACATCTTTTTTTTTAATTCACCGAAACACATTTTAAGGACAAAATCATGACTGAATAAGAATTCTAAAGCGGACAATACCTCGAAGGTAAAAATTGACCCTAATGATATTATTTAGTCCCAATGATGAACCTTGACCATTGATTTTGGAGGTAAATAATATATTGTTAATAAATAATAATATATTAAATGATCATTAAATTTGAAGAATAAAATCATAAATTAAATTATATGAGAATTAAAATTGAGGTAATTTTAAAAGGATAAAATTATAAATATATAAATAAATATATTAAATAATCATTAAAATTGAGGAGGTCAAAATCATAAATTACAATTGAAGTTACAAAACTTGTGGGAATTACTACTAAATATATTTACTCTCATTAAACACTACTAAATATTTATATTTATTAATTTTACTCTAATTTTTTTTATATCTTTTTTAATTTTACTCTAAATTTTTATTTTTTATATCTTTTTTAATTTTACTCTAAATATTTCATTTTTTATATATTTTTTAATTTTACTCTAAATATTTCATTTTATAAAATTTATTATATAAAATTTAAAATTATACCCACTTTATTTTTTATTAATTGGCAGTCAAATTTTTATTAGAGACCAATATGAAATAACATTCAATCCCACACTATATATATATATATATATATATATATATATATATATATATATATATATATATATATATATATATATATATATAACTCAAAAAAATTTGTAACTTACTATTACTTTCCTCTGATGCAGATTTGCAATATAAGCATGGTAAATATCTTTTATTTACGTGTTCAAATTGATCTTCTACTTTATAACTCAATTTAATATTATACATAAGATACTCCACTGCCACGTCATAATGTATATATATATATATATATATATTATTACTCAAATTTTTATTTTATCAATTTTATTATTTGAATTTAAAAATTATACATGTCTTTACTTTTTCTTAATTAGATACCAATTTATTAACTACGTAGAGGTATAACCAATAACATGTATGATCATACATCTAGTGTAAGGTTTAAGCTGAAGCATTTCTTTGGACAGAAATGAGGAAAAGGAAGCAAATATTAAATTTAAATTTATATCCAAAAATATAATAAGGTGTGAAATTCAAATATTTTAAATAACGTCATGATTTTAGAATATTAAACATATTTATCTAGATTAAAAAAAACTCATGAAAATTAGTTTGAATAATTTTTATAAATATTCATTATTAAAAAATATATTTTTTATTGTTTTATATTAAATATTAAGATTGTAGTAGATTTTAAGTCGGAAGTGATAGAAATAAACTGATAAGGAAAATTACCTTCTAATGATTAAAATGTTTCTCTTATTTATTTATTTAGAGTTATTTCTAAGTTTTAAAGAGGGGAGGGGAATAATTAAATATATGTTTGGGTGAGGAGAATTAATTATTCGAGTAATAATATGTTTGAAAAAAGAAAAAAAAATATAGGTTGAAAAGAAAAAAGTTATGTGTGTGTTTTGGTAACTTAAATTAATGGTAAAAAAATATATTTACGTTATTTTAGTGTTGTATGAATATTTATATTATATGATTATGATTAAATTATTTGTATTTTTTAGTAAAGGATGAGAAAGTGCTAGTAATTAGACAAAAAAAAAAATTTTAACTCCATTTTTATTCAAGTGAGATATGTATTACTTGAATTAGGATAAGATAGTAAAAGATATAATATAAGATGGTGACAGTTCGTTCAAGTAAATTGAAAAATAATTTAATTCTCACTTTTAAAGTAGACTATTTTTGTCGAAGAGGTGTTTTTGAAATAAGAGGGTTGAGGCAACCAAATTCTCGCTCAAGCAAGAAACTTTAGAGGTTGATAGGTGTTTTCTAGCTAGTGTAATTCTAGTTTAAGGGAGAATTATGTATAGGAATTTTGCTTAAGTAAAAAAAAATAAAAAATGCATGCATGATTATTTATATGATTATATGGTGATGTTGGTTAAAATATATTTATTTTAAGTTAAGTTGGGAGATAGATTTATAATCAAATAAGATATATCTATATTGAGGAAGTTGAGTCAGGGATGTAATCCATAATCTACTAAAATATGTCTAGTTGTGAGTATATAGGAAAATACTGTGTGGTATTAATGTAACTACAATATTTGTGTAAATTCAATAAGATTTCAAATTTCATGGATAATCTTGATCAATATAGACAGACAGGTGTATTAATAGGTAAGAAGTCCGTAAGCATATTACAAACAACTTATTCTAAGATAATAAGAGATCGACATGAGAATGAGTAATGTTATCAATAGAGAAATCAAAATAATATTAAAAATTAAAAAATATATAATATAATATTAATTTCAACAAGATACTCAAATATTACTTTTGAAATTTAAACATAACTTTGATCTTCAAAAAACTGTTTATATGATGTAATGAAATGTAATATGATGCAATATAATGTGACGAGTGATAATATACATTATTATATGGATTATAAATATAAATTGAATAAGTAATTATTATTAGAATAATTAACTTATTCTTAATTTTTTTTTCGGATAACTTGGCTACTACACGTTGATTACAGGAGAACAAATAACATTCTGTAGTAAAGATAATATCTCTATAATAAGGTTAATTAAAAATATAATTATAAGAAAATTTTAAATATTTTATGATATAATCTCATATAGATATATTTTTTATTAAATACTTATTGAATATTATATATATATATATATATATAAATTATTTCATAATATAATATAATATAATATAATAATAAAGATTTTAGAGGAATTACAAATTATTTTAAAATAATTTAATTATAATTTTTGAGAATATTGTTTACTATAAAAATATTTAATAATTCTTTGCAATAATTTATATTTTACTGATTAAATTATAAAACAAAATAGCATAAAATCTTAATTTTTTTCTTATAATTATTTATATTATATTTATTATTTAAAACTGTGTTTTAAATTTTTCTATATATTTTTCTCATTTTACCTTTTTATAATATTTTGTGAATATATTAATTATTTTACATGTTTCCAAGTTAATCCAAATAAAATATTAAAAATATAAATCACTGATTATATCATAAAACTATTTATTAACTATTTGCAACAATTTAGAATTTACTAATTATATGATAAAATAAAATAGGATAAAATCTTAAATTTTTTTTCTTATACTTATTTATATTATATTTATTATTTAAATTTATGTTTTAAAATTTTCTATATAGTTTTCTCATTTTATCTTTTATAATATTTTGTGAATATATTAATTATTTTACATGTATCCAAGTTAATCCAAATAAAATATTACAAATATAAATTAAATTAAATTTTAAACATTAATATAGTTTAAAAAGTAAAAGTTTAACTTTTAAATTCCATTCATATCATAAAATATGAATAAATTATACAAATAGTTTTATATTTAAAACTATAAACATTCCATCATCACTTATATTCAACGTATAGTCTAAAATATTTTTATTTAATTTATTAGTTATATCTTCATATCCTTACTTGTTCATCTAATTTATTAATTATATCATCACATGCTTAATAAACTAACAATATAAAAATAAAAATATTATATATATGTATATATATAAATTGAATTTTATATAGTAAAAATAAAATAAAAAATTAAAATTTTATTAGAAAAATTTGTGTAAATACAAAAGTTAAAAAATAAAATATAAATATATTGTATTTTGAACTGAAAGTCATTTTATATTAATCACATTCATCTTATTAATATTTGTGTATACAATTGATAAAAAAAGTAATATACTTTTAAAATTCAATAATAATAATAATAAAATACAATAAAAAAATATACTGTTAAAACATCATATTTATAAACAATTTAAAAATCATTTAAAATTTCAAATCTGCTATTCAAAATGAGAAAGATAGAGATTAATAATAATAATAAAAAAGTTCAATACAAATCATAGATCAACTAGATAAATAGAGAATTATATACCCAATAGAAGTAGACAGACAGAGATGAGACATGACCTAGAAAATGCAGTTTCCTTGTCTTTTCTGCCTCTCCAAAAGTGATGTTTCATAATTAGTCCACTGCTCACCTTAGGAGAATCCAACTAAGATGGATGACAAAAGTGGCACTCTAATTAATAACATTTCCATTTTTATGGATGCACTCAATAAAGAAATACTTAACAAACACTCTAAAACCTAATTGTCCAAAATTAACTTTGTCATTTCAAGCCAAGTGCTTCTATGCTATTCTCCAAGGACCACCTGAATAACTCCACAGCTTCAAAACAAACAAACCACCCATCCAACAAATTTCCTTTAAAGAGCATTCACAATTTCATATAATTCAATGTGCATTAAATAAAACGTCTCTTGATTTAGAGAAAAATAAAAAGTTCAAATTTTTTATTTTTCCATTCAACACCCAATTGACCGCTGGATCATTCAAAGTTCACCATTCAACCCAGTGGAGAAAAAAAAATGCAGATACACCAAAGAACTGAACTAAAAAGCAAGAAAACTCAAAACACATAACTTAAATTACCATAATCTAGACAATGTTGATAATCTAGACAATGTTGATGTCATTCTCTCTGATTGGAATAGATACTTTAACTCGATAATGGTTAATTAAAGGATCATCGAGATAAAATGTAAATTTAAACTGGAAAATAACAATTGATGCAACTAAGTTATGTTTTTTTTTTTTACATTTTTAATTGCAGTATGAACAATAAACTAGCACACTACCTTGATACTAGGTAAATAGTAATCAATTAACTATCACTTTGCGCATGTGAGTTTTGCCTTGAATGTTGTTGTTGTTCTTTCATCTCTTGATGGACTTCGACCGGAGGTGCATCCTCGACAACGACAGGTTCCGGCGGGGGAGGTGGAGGAGGAACAGCGATTCTGCCATCTACGCAAGAGGAGCATTTGGTCTCTACCCAAGTTTCCACGTCATACTCGCCATGACCCATGACCCGACGACCCGAACAGAGCCTACCTATCATACCTGCAATTACGCCAAGAACAGTAATGACTGCGAGGACAGCTATGACTGGTCCAACCGACCCGTGACCCGAATGTGTCGAGTATGCTTGCTGGGTCACTTCTATGGGTGGTGGCTGTTGTACAAATGACATCTGAGACAAGGGTTTGAAATAAAAAAAACAAAAAACAAAACTTTGACTTAATAGAGAGAGGAGAAAAAAATAATCTTTTAGGAGGGATTTATGTTTTGAAGGTTTGAAAATGGGGAGGCATTTTGTGGGTTTGAGAGAGGAAGGTGGAGGAATGGGGATCAGCAAAATGGTTGTTGATTTCAACTTGGCATGTTTTTGGATGCCTTTTGCTCACTTTTACCCCCAGATTATAGCAAAAGTGTAAGGTTGTATGTGGAAGGGTGGTGTTAAGGGTTGTGGTGTTGTGTTGATGATAATGAGTGAAGTGTGTAGGGTGGAGTGTGGAGCAGATTGATTGAAGAGGTGAAAGAATTTTTTGGGTGGGAGGGTGGGGTAACAGAAAGAAAGTGAGAGAGAGGTGGGGTTTTTCAAGGTGCTTTTGGTGGTACTGCAAACAAGTGACTTGGAGAAAAAGTTTTGCACTGAAGAATCATTTGACTACCGACAAGAAGAGAAGTGTAAACAAGTTACAATGATGATAGGATAAAGTTCAAATAATAAAAACAACTTTTGCTAAACAAATAATAATAATAATAATAATAATATTAAATATTATACTATCATCAAATATTTTTATTTTCTTGTGCATATTTACCCATAAATATAAATTATTTATAAGTTATAATATTTTTATATAATATAATATAATATAATATAATTAAATATATATTGTTAATAAAAAGTTCAAAATGGTACTTTATTTTTTAAATTATCAAATTTGTTTTTCGTTTCTTAATATAATTGGTCCACAATTTAAATCACCACTAAAAATTTAGTGACTTTTTTTAAGTGCGTGAAAGTTTATAACCATCCTCACATTATCAAGATTTTTAAACATAATTAAAATTATTATTAATCATAGTAATAATAATGTAATTTTAAAATTCATTTAAATAAAATAGACTAAATTACATCAATTAAAAATAATTAAGAAATGAAATTAAATCTACAATGAAATAAAATTGAATAAAATAAATAAATACATTAATTCTTTATGTTCTTTTCTTATAATCTATCTTTTCTCTTTATATATATAAAACGTTTTTTACAAGGAGTTATAAGATTGGTTTATAGTATAAGGGAAAGGTAGGAGGTGAAATAGGTGGTGGATTAAAATCCTAGTAAGAAATTAATAATTAACATGTGTAAATATGTATGCTCTGTTAATATTTATTTGTACTTGGAAGGATAGCTGGTCCCAAGTGTGGATTTGGCAGAGACCAGTCCCAGGGATGGTGGTGTGTTTTAGTTGCATTGCCTGGTGTAGTGTTCTTGGATGAATGAATATGATACTAAAAATGTAGTTCATGTCAATATCTCCTGCCATTTCCAAGAGTGATGACCACACCATTCATTATGATTAATAGCTTTCACTCCACCAAACATCAAACCAATCAACCTTTGTAAACTTTCACACCTATATATGTAGTGAAAAGTATAGGTCTATGTCCATTTTTAAAAGTTCAAAAAATATGATTAATTAAAAAAAAAAACTTATGGTCTTCAGAATTTTTACTATTTTTATCTTAAATTTTTAATAAATATAATATTTTTATCAGAATTATTTTATCATAATATTTTTTTTCAGAGTATTATGGATAGAATATTTGCAATGTTTTTTTAAACAAAAATTAATTAATATTTATTTAACATAATTTTAAGGTATTTAATTGAGTTTAAACCATTAAATAAATATATTTTATAACAGATAAAATAAGTTAGATTCTAAACCAATATAAAAATAGAAAGATAATCATAAAAAGAATAAAGTTATAAATATAAAATTGAAAAGATAAAAAGTTAAAAATAAATAGAGATTCATCTTTAAAATATAATTTTACTCATGAGTATATAAATACGTGTTAAGTTCTATTATTTTCATTAGTCTCCGTGCTCAGAAAAATCTTGAAAAAGAAAGGTGTGAAAAATGTTTTTTTTCATGAATGTTTATAAGAATTGAGGTAAAGAGATACCCTTAAGCCATAATAAGATTTTGTTTTATACTGTGACGATAAAGAAGAACAAAATCTATAGCTTTACTAGGTCTACAATGCCCTGTGATATTGCTCCATTAGGTTGCTTTCCATTAGGTTAAACATGGTTAGTTCTATTAGCATGGTGACTTGTGTGGGGATTGACCAAGTGAGTTTGTTATCTAAAAGCTCAAGGATTTTCAATGACTTTAATCTTTCTATGGTTGGTGGGATTTCTCCTGTTAACTTGTTCTTGAATAGTAAAAGTGTCTCCAACTTGATGTGGTTTCCCAACTGTAAGATCAAATTTTCCTAGATGTTAACATTTCAAAGTATTTTAAGTTAGAGAGTGTAATGTCAGTTCCGAGGGTAATGTTCCTGCTAAATTGTTGTATCCAATTTTCAAGTGTTCCAGTTTAACTAAACCATAACTACAAGGATTTGTGAAGTATGGATTGCTTTGTGGTTAGAGAACCTCAACATTCTTCTCATGTTAATCTCATTCATGGTCCTAAAAATTCCTTTGGTCCAGTATGGACAAACATGAGTGGTACTCTATATGCAATTGGAAAGGGAAAGGAAAGTGTCTTAAATGATGGTTCATCACTAAAATTTGATCACTACTGCAGAAAAGGCTTTTTACGTCAGTTAAAATGGGCTTTCTATGTCGGTTAAAGCGGCGACATAGATACGGGGGTCATAGAAAGTAAGTCTTTCTACGTCGGTTCCTAATAACCGACGTAGAAAGTAAGACTTTCTACGTCGGTTAGTCAGGGGACCGACGTAGAAAGACTGACTTTCTATGACCTATACTGATCGGTCATAACTGGTTCTGATAGGTCATAGAGCTATTCCGATCGATCATAACCGATTCTCGACTGTCATATTACTTTCTATGTCGGTTAACAATGATAACCGACATAGAAAGTCTTACTTTCTAACTTTCTATAACCCCAAGATCTATATCGGCTAACAGAACCGTGATTGTATGTGTTATCAATGTCGGTTATGCCTATAACCGACATAAAATGTTAAACTTTCTACGTCGGTTATGTCAATACCCGACGTAGAAGTACTTTCTACGTCGGGTATTGACATAACCGACGTAGAAAGTGTTATTTTTTTTACGAGATTCGCATTTTCTTCACGAGATGCTACCTTTCTTCGAGTAGACTCTGCCTATTCATCACAGTTCCAGCACAAATATTCACAGATCCAAACACTTGTACAGCATGTATATGCACAGCTTCATATATAGTTCCAGCATGATATGTACATATGAAACATATTGAAATCAATATATGTACCTCAGCTTCAGATAGTTCATTTACTTAAACGAATGTAAATTTGCTAACTTAAATCAATTCAATCAAAATTGTTACATGTCAAATTTGCTATGAAGATTGAATACTTAAAAGGAAAGAAGCCCACTGTTCTCTAATATCGTCTAACACTTCAATCTTCATTGGAGATGAGTCTGTAAATTCCTACATATTGAAACATTTCAGATTTAGAAACCATTTAATAATTGGCATATTTGACTTAATTATAGTATATTTACCTCCCTCCATGAGGAAATAATATTTTTGGCTACGATGGTGTGCATGCGCTTCATCACATAATACCCGCACTCATGGCTTCCCAGTTGGCGTGGACACTACAAGTTAAATACATGTCAGATTAACTTTAAATGACAAATTGAACAACAGTAAGAGGTGTTTGGTCACCTTTGGTGCAATATACGTCAACTTCTTTCTAGCATAAGATGGAAGGCCTTGCAACCTTAGGTGAGCTTCCAAAGCTCTACAAAAGGACAAATAATTTTGGTGTAAGTGCACATATGATACAACAATTAAAAAAACCAAACTTACGCGTCTATGTGCTTTCTAATATCCAAATCATTTGGTTTCTTGTGTAATGAACACAAGAGAATCACAACAAATTGCCGAGGAACAATGATTATGAGCCGCCAATGACCCCCGCACGTTGAAATAATATTAGTAAAATTTCAGCTTTTACATAAATGTGCATTAATTTATAAGATGTATACTTACTCGATGCAAGTAAGGTGCTAAGTAGACTTCTTTGCCCCCATTTTGAAATGTCTCTATTAAGTACGTTTGCACCTCTTCGCCTTTATTCCCAATGGACTCGAATGACAACAGTGGTCAACAAATCCATAGATAAAGACAATCTTCCTCTCAACACACAAACGATGTAAATACCTTCAACATTGAAAATAAATAAAGTTATAAAATAATGTACCAAGTGAGAATATAAAAAATATGTAAATATACTTACAATTCCCAAAGCCGCAACACCGATACACATAGCATATCAAGTATCAGCGAGAAGATAAAAAATATCCCTTTGGAGTAAGAAAAAAGGGATCGTTTGGGTCCCGCATACGACTTCGGGTGGCATATCTAACCGTATGGGAGTGGTCCCGATAGTCGCCGCTAGTGCACCGAGTCGCTGTAAGCGCTCTGTGGTGGTGGTGATTCATGCACAACTTCCTTTGCTTTTTCAAACCTCTTTCTATACAAGTACCAAAAATAAATAACATTAATATACATCAACCTATCAAAAAATAATAAGTAAAAGGGATAAATGCATGACACAACCCGTGAATGTGTCGGGATGGGTCTTGTTAATGAAACTCGACCATAAGATAAAATTTCCAGTGCCTGTCCCACTCGTTTGAACCTCTTCAATGGGAATAGGGATTGGGGCAAGCAAGATCCCGGACATCTACAACCACCACTCTTATCATATCATGTCCAATACTCGGTGGTGGATGGTTGACCCCAATGTATACATTTTCCCTAAGGTAAACAAATGATAAAATATTTTAGACTATATAATGCTTAACAAGTGTACCAAATACATGTCAAAGATATAATACGTACCGTATGCCACCAAATGCTCTGGAGGACCCGCAACATACAACTCACAAGTCACCAGGTGTCAGTAGGAGCAACCTCTCGCCCTCTATCGGAGCATCACAACTCTCCTTTGTGCCGACATGAATCTGGGATGCCTCTCGTGCGGGGACGTAAGGTCGAGAGGACAAAGATGCCAACTCGCTCGCATTGAGCTCAATAACTCGTCTTCAAGTCGAGTACACCTCATCTCGAATCTCCTTCCTAATTTGTTGTTTGAGGGACTCAAACTCCAACTCATTCGGATGCCTCAAAGTAGGAGTTGCCACGGGTGGGGCACCAAAGTACCGTCTCGATGCCCACCCCTCGTCCAGCAGAAGACGAACACGTTCATGATGCTCGGGGTACCAATGGCCACCGCCAATATATCCCGACGGCCATGTGGGCGGAATGATTCCTGAGTGCTCTGCTCAACCAACTCATCCTACAACACAAAGGAAGGATTTTTTAGCAAATACATATGCTTATTGTAGTATAACATATATAATTAGTTTAGGATATGCTACTTACAATACGTTGCGCTACAACATTAGTTTGCTCAGATAAGTAATTCCCTGATGAGTTCTGGCGAGTTCTCTTCCATTTATCATGGCGTGAAGGGCAAGTGACAGCACTCACAACCGACTCATCTCGAAGGATGACTTGAAGATGTCTCCTTCATCATCTTCTCCTCCAATTTCTCATAACCCCCACGAGACAACTCCGTAGGGGTGGATATTCTTTCTCTCGAATATCCCGTGCCTTCTGCCGCTTGGCCTCGTTGCATTCCATGTTAAATACCGGATTTAAAACCTCTATTTTAAAAAAATGACCGCAAACAAATGACAAATGTGCTAACCCGAAACTTAGCGTCTAAACGCCGAGTCCGAAATGCCTCGCCATGTCTCCTCATCCAAAAACCGATACTCGGTCACATGGGTTCTTGTTGCTCAATGCCCCATATATGTATCGACTAGTCGATCACTCTTAAAACCTCTCCAGCTGCTCTCCAAGCATATGAGATCCACTTTGTCCTCAACAAAGTGGTGTTAGGGACATCATATGTGACCTACACAATAAAAATAACATGAAGTTCCCAAAAAGTTAAATATATATACATGTTAAATGCTCAATAAGAGTAGGTACCAGGATACTCGCCAAATCTGCGTCTTCGGTGTCTCCGGAACATGGTCCCAATCCTCAATAAGAATACTAACCTTGCTTCTCCCAAGCAAGGCCACATAGCTAGTGAATCTAGCACCGTGCTCTCCCGTGGCTCTACCCGTTTGCATGTCAAACCGGATAGGCAATTTCCGACGGAGCTACGACCGATATTCAAGTCCCTCAACCGTGTAGCACGCCTACCCTTTTTCCCGGTAGATGGTCGACTCGATCACCACCTTGTGTAGGAGGGGGGACTCGTGTAGGAGGAGGGGTACCAGATGAATCTGCCATAT